TACTAACAATGACTCTTTTGAAAATGTGTGCAGAGGTGGCCAAAATATATGAGATTCCATCTAGTATAAGGAAATTTTGTTTCCTGGACAGAAAAAGTCACTCGCTGTCTAAATGTACACAGACGTACAGCAAAGGAAAATAACCATCTGTGCCCTGGTGGTAAACTTTTTTTTCCAAAAAAGAAAGACAGTAAGCGAAAATCAGTCGACTACACCTCCAGCCAGGCCCTGTGGCAGGTGCCTGCAGGCGTAAGTTTATTTCATTACTTTCCAAACTTCTACAGTGGATTATGAATATTTCATTGCTAAGCAAGGAGAAGATCCGAGTATCATGGTATCTCCCCACCGATTTGGAAAATAAGTGGACTTTCTCTTCTGCTTTTTCACATATTTTCAGGGGGTCTCATTTCACCCCTCCAGGAAGTTTATTCATATTCTTCCCTTCTCCGCAACGTGCACGGCTGTGTTTCGTATATTTTTCTCTCGGCTTATTTGTTAAACTCTTTTTATACTCCCAAGGGCGAGATCAATTAAATAAAATAGGCTCTGCCCCTACACTACAGTAGCAATGAACAGAAACGCGCCCAAAACAGCAACGAGCTGAGCAACCGCTCGCCGGGTTTCGTCCGGGTGGGTCCCGGGTCAGATGTTACCTGTCCCAGAAAGGGGACACGGATTTAAAAAGCCGACCCAAGGGCAAGCGTCGCTTCATTTACCTCTGACACGCAAAGCGAACATGATTTAACCAGTATCGAAAACAATGAAGCAAAAAAAAAAACACAAAGTCTGCCCACTGCAAAATCAATAAAGCAAAAAATAAGTGTATCATATGTGTCTAAACCAAGCACAATGGGACAAAAATGGGCCACCTTCCCCTCGTCTCCGTGGGTAGTTAATACCCAGATGTGACAGTGCAGCGCCAGGCACTGTCCTCACGTCGACCTGTACCTGGGATTCCTCCGTCCCACGGCCCCTGGGACTGCTCCCGATTATCCGCTACCCACCGATCCTCTCACACAGCAGCATCCGCAGATCGCAACCTCCAAAGGCTTCTTCTCTCTTCAGTTATTAGTTGTATTTTGTCTTTTTTTTTTTAAGCTTCAAAGGGCCAGATGTATCCCTGCGTGTCTCTTACGAGCTGACGTGCATTGAACTGTAATTTTCCTTAAATAGCGGGGACCTGGGGTCTCGGCTGGCGAGGGAATCTAAAGGCCCAGGCTTCTCAAGCACACAGCAAGTTAGAATGTCCTGGCGACCAGGTTAGCGTGGGGTTTACTGCAGACTTTCTCCATCTGAACCCCAATCTTGAACTGCTTATAATGTGACACCCTCTCCTGCTGTGCCCTTTCCTGTGTCCCCCCTCCCCGATTTGCCTGGTTTATTGCTATTTTAATGTTCAGCGCAAACATCTCCAAATTCCTCTTCATCTGCCATTCCCTGCCCCCCGATTAGATAGCTGCCCCTTTCCCATGCCTTTGAAGAGCCTACCCACATCTTTATTAATGCTCTATTTTTAATTTTTTTTTAATTCCTCACTAGACTGTGAGCTCCTTGAGGACACGGGCAACTCTATCTTACTCATATTTATGTCTCCAGTGTTCATTTCAGCTCTGGGTGATCATTGGCCCTCAGTGAATGGTTTTTATGTCATTTAATACATGGACATCGATTTGATGGTACCCCCGAGTTGAGGCCCCAGACAGAAGAGACGCATCCAAAGAGCAATGCCAATAAAGATCTGTACACCTGGCGCCTGTCCCTGGACCCCCGAAAGTAGCTCTTCAGCAGATGGTGACACCCCTGACAGTGAGATGCATTATGGAAACACACCCCTTTCCTTGGTAGTGATGTTTCTGCAATCGTTAAGAAGTAGGATAACTCTTTCTCTTATCGTTTGCCTTCCTGGGAAGTAAAATAGATGAGATTTGTGATTTAGGAGACAGGGGCCAATTAACTTCCTTCCCATTGTGTCCAGTAAACGCCGAGGCCCACTCGGAAATCTCCTAGCCAGACTATGGCAGAGATTAGCAGAGCTTTCCTCCTGCTTTGTTTACCATAATGAACTGGTCAATAAACATCACAAATTGTTTATCTATATAAATCTTGACAGATTACTCTTTATGAAATCCACTTAGCAAGTGAGGTTTTCCCATAAGGATGAAAAATGAAGATTTTAAACAGATTGTGGGAGAGCTCCGGCTACACCGGGAGAGCCCGTGTAATAAAGGTTTCTTTATATTAATATTACAGAAACCATTTATCCTGGCAAAATCAATATCACAGTCCATCTTAGTTTGCTGTTTCTCTTTCAAAGCTTAAAACGTCTCCCCTTTTATTATGTATAATTCTGTTTTAATAAACGTGAAATATATTTCATTTAGGAGGTGCTCTAGAGGAGTGGTAACTTATAAAATGACATCAGGCTTGTAGCTTATTTGCTAAAGAGTCTTGGAAACGTTTAAAATTGTATTTGAGTGGCTGAGAAATTTACAGGAATCATTTTACTTAAGCCTTAATTACCAACTTATCCCCAGCGTCCTTTGGGCTGGAAACGCACTATAATATTCAGAAAGTCTCCTGTGAACTCCATTCAGAGAAAATTCCCTCTTACTGAAGTCAAGCAATTATAACAAGTCAGATAAGTGAGATACAACAATGGCTTGGATAAGAGACTATAAAGTCAGGCATAGTCACATTTAATTACTCAAAACAACGGCGTGCCTTCCTGAGAAGCGATTTATTTATTCCATTTAGATTGGGAACGTAATGCCCCATGGATATCGACAGAGCTGACTTAGAGCTGAGCGGGTGGCTGGCAGAAAATAGAGGAGCGCCGAGGAAAGGAATTAGGCCGCACGCTGGAAGCCCATCCTCTAAACGTACTGTATATAAAATGAGTGCGACTGTCTCATGAGTGAATGGTAATAAAAACCGAAATACTCAAGAGATACTTATTCATGAGTGGTGTGGCGATAAATACAGTGCTGGGAGGGAGAAGAGTGCCTCATATTGCTGCTTCTTACCAATGGCCGACAGGCAACATACTCTTAAGTAATAGTGTCCAGCCGGTGTGGCTCAGGGGTTGAGGCCCATCCTGTGCACCAAGAGGTCACTGGTTCGATTCCCGGTCAGGGCACAGGCCCTGGGTTGTGGGCTCGATCCCTAGTAGGAGGCAAGCAGGAGGCAGGCGGTCCATGACTTTCATCATTGATGTTTCTCTCTCTCCCTCTCCATCCCTGTCTCTCTCAAATTAAAAAAATATATTAAAAAAA